TTGTGTTTTTTTACTCTGATGTTGATTTCATGAAAGTGTCTTACCTCATATTTCAGGTTTTTGTCGTTTTCTCGGGATAAATGAAATGTCGTTTTAGCCGACCTCAATGCTAACTTGTAAAAACATCCTTCAGGGTGTTTATTTCAGCGAAACATTAATAAACAAACTGTTATATCAAGATAACAAAAAATAAGTCATTACCATGAGATAAAAGTGCATTAAAAAAGATAAATCCATGGCTGTTCTCAGCCTTCTTATTTGCCCCCTAGTGTTTTTTTATCAGTTGAAAATAAAAGTTTCACAATTCCAACAAAATAATGACAAAAGTTGTGAAAAAACAGAAAGTTTGGGTTCATACACATTAATAATAAAACAAAAAGAAAGAAACAAGAAAAAAAGGAGATTAATAAATAAATAGCAGAAAACAAAGACAACATAACGACAGCTAATTACCTACCAATATTGAACTTTTAACATTTATTCTTTATTTTCTCTTGTTTAATATAATAATAATAATTATAGAAAAAAAAGAAGTTTATCTCCAGTGAACTTTACTTTGTTGATCTTTGTATAAAATAAAAACAAGCTAATTATAAAAACCTCGTTTAGGTCTAGTATCGTATCTGAATGGAAGCTAAAAAAGGAGCTGCCCTAAATTCAGGAAGTCGTGGATCGGTGCGTCGAGCTAACCGAGTCTGTTTCAGAAATCTTGTTTTTCTTTCCTCTGATCGTGACTCTAAATTTACTCATTTTTATATGTTTCACAATTTCTTCCATGTTTTTTCTTTTTAATTATCGTGTCGTTCAGCTCTCAGCCTCGTTATTATGATTAACTGTTTCCGTTAATCATGTCGAGATTATTTTCCTTAAAGGGTTTATGTGATTTAAATGTTTATGTGATTTAAATTAAGGAGAATTAATAAATAATTCATAAGGTAGGTAGGAACTCTGGGTCGATGGTAGGAACCAAAAACGATGTCCGTTTGTTGATGCGGAAATGATGCGGCGCGCAGTTCAAACTCCCGGAAGTGACGATCAGGACGTTAGCGTGGATGTAAACAGAAGTTTTGAAGCCGATAAAGTTTGATTTATTTTCACTTTAATGAGGTTTTAAACTCGAGTTTTAGGGCCGATGGAGTCTTCACTTTAACAAACTTTTCATAAACTGAAGTTTATTTTGAAAAAATTGAGAAAAATGTTCAAATTTACGAAGTTTAATGAGTCATAGTGGAGTTAGCACAGCGGGGCTAACAGGCTAACAGACAAAAACAAACTTTTAAAGATAAAAATGAAGAGAAAAGAAACAAAATTCAGACTGAGTCCAAATGAAGAGGCTCAAATAATCCGAGAGGAGAAAGACAAGAGAAGAAAACTGAGAATACAGCAGGTAACAACATTTAAAAACACTCCGAGACACGGGGTATTTCAGTTTATACTACTACTAATCATCAATATTTTTATAATTATAATTGTCATTACTGTTGATATGTTTTATTTTATTTATTCTTGTTTTTTTAAGGCTCTTTTACAAACTCAGAGGGCAGTTTTCTCACGTCACGAGGATCTTTTTGAGTTTTTTTAATCGTTTTTTTCCACGACAAACAAAAGTTAATGACCTTTTTCACCTGTACCATCAGATCCTTCCAGACTGGAGCGTATTAATGAATGAATGAATGAATGAATGAATCCACCTTCACCCTCAGGTGCGGGAGCAGCAGCGGTACATCGCGCTTCATATCCGTCAGGAGGTGGAGCAGAGGAGGCGGAGGGAGCTGGAGAAACTGGGAGAGGAGCTGAGAGTCGAATGGGAGAAACAACAGAGAGAGAAAGTCGACACTCTGCAGAGACTTTACCAAGAAAGTCTCCAACTTCTGGGCCAAGGACACAGGAGTGCCAAAGAAAACGTGAGGAAACACATTTATGATGATTTTATGATCATGTTCACAATCGTTCCAGCGTTTCATGAATGAGACCCTCAAAGACCCTTTCACTGAAACTGATCAAAGACAAACGTCTGAAATAATCCGATCAAACTCCAGAATATGAAAATACGATGTTTGAAATCATAATCAGTCTTTTTGATAAATTAAAGGAACAGGATTCAGCAGCCAGAACTCGAAGGGCGGAGGAAAATCTCGCCAAAGCCGAGGAGCGTCACCGAGACGCCCTGAAGGAGCTGAAATCACAGAAACTGAAAGAGCGAGAGAGTCAGAACAGGTCAGCGCAGTCACCAACCTCCAACAAGTTTACGTGTTTGAATATTAGATATAATAACCACCAATGTTTCATTTCTAACCGCTCTTCTTCAGGTCAATCAACGCCAGAAAAAAGGCGCTCCAGGCAGAAAAAGAAAGATCAGCAAAAGTGGCGAGCCTCCCACCGCCACCCCCAAACCCTTTTCAGGTGAAATCCTCATGAAGTGTATAAATAAATAAAGTGATTGATTGATTGAAGTGATATTTTCTATAGTTTTTAACAGGTTTGAGGCTCTAAAGGTTCGCGGTGTTTGTAGAAAATCAATCAGTCTATATTTTTATAAGTAAAACGAAGAAGAAGAAGAAGAAGAAGAAGAAGAAGAAGAAGAAGAAAGCTGCTCCAGACTCTGTTTACAAAGAGCCAAAGTCAAGATGGATCAGACTGAGCTCCAACCAGAGCAGAAACTCTTTAGAGCAGGAGGAGAGGAAGAACTTTAACAGGCAGAAACCTGAAGGAGGACCAGACTGATGTTGGACCGTCACCTGCTGAGACTGAGTCGGGTTTAGAGGGGGGGGGGATGATCTGAGTTTGATTTATGGAAAATTAAAGTCAGCAGGTCTAACGTGGAAACGCAGCAGTGAGATCGTTCATAAAAATAAAGAATAAAAACAGTTCAATCATGAACTTTATAACAAAAATACAGAGACTGAGGTCGAAGGTCGAAGCCGCTGAAAGCAGACGGACTGAAAATTCCTGTTTTTGTTCTGAGGACAGACGTTAGTGGGACAGAAGTGTTGAGATGAAGAGGAGGAGCTTCAGTCATCTCGGTCATTTTAGACTCAGCAGAACATCAGGAGCTCCGGGTGTCACTAAACTAAGTCTGTCTTTTCCTTTTCACTCAGAATATTGACTCCAAAACGTCTCATGTCGTGACGAAATCTGATGTGAGTGTCTTCGCCGGGACATATTATCACATGGCTGAGAGCGCCGTCCATCGAGAGGAAGAGACGCTGCAGGTAAGGACACTGATATAACCCTGAATTTGGTCACCCCACAGCTTTCAGTTCTAATGTGTACGATTCTGCAGCGTGATGCTCACGAGGAGGCTGAACTGGAGGTGAGGAGACTGCAGGAGCTTCAGAGGGAGGAGCAGAGGAGAAGAGAGGAGCAGCTGAAGAAGGCTCGTCTCAGAGGGAGGCAGGCTTTAAGGAGGGAACATCAAGTTCAGGTGAGTCTCACTTCTTTACAGATCATGCTCCTCCTGTCGTAATGTAAATACAGGAGCTCAGAGTCAGGGTTCAAGAACAGTTAGGAGTGAAGACATTCATGCTGCCTCTCCTCCTTCAGGATCGGGAGCGTTTGCTCGTAGAGCTAGAACACATGCAGCAGACAGACCTGCTGAGGAGGAGACAGCAGACAGTCCACATGCCTGCTCAGATCTTCCAGCCTCTTTATAAAAGGCAGGAGACGAGGGAGGACTTCCAGAGGGAGATGGAGTTCGCCTTTGAAGACATGTACACCGGAGAGAGGAGTAAGAAGAACTTCTGAGGGGGAATCAAAAGAGTTTCTCTAATTCTTCAAACTTTAACCTTGACTGTGTCTAATACTAGGAATGAAAGGTGACCTGGTGGTCCAGCTGGTACCAGAACCTCTGCCAGCTCTGTCCACGGATGGCCAAGACCAAGACCTGGACATCACACAGGATGAAATCAGCTCAGCAGGAAACGAGAACACGCAGCAGGAAGCTGAGAAAACGGGGCGAAGAACATCTGCTCACGGTAAGGACCTGCAAAAAAAACGCTAAAAATGTTTAAAGACGTTTTTTTCCCTGAACCCTTCGCTGTATTTAGGAATGGATCCACCCTCAGAGGTTCCCTCCAAACCTGCTCCAAGAGGGGCTCTGAAGAAACTCCTGGACCGAATCAGGAGCCAGAGGAACCAGTGGACCGAGCAGAACAGCTGTGTCTCTGCAGAAAATCCCCCTCCTCTCATCTCTGACCAGGTCTTAGAGCGAGACACAACCATCGACACGGGATCTCTGAGCAGTGAGGAGAAGATCAACCTGCCCCCCACCGTCAGCCCACCTTCAGGTCTGTTATTTACTGTCTTTGGAGTCTCGATTTATCTGAAAATACAAACAGTATCACTGAAAATATAACCTAAAATATAAAAAATAAAATCCTTCATTTCAAACAAACAGGAAAAACAAACAAATTGTTCTTTTGCAGTGAGATTAGTAACAATAATCCCAACCTTTCTCACTGCAGCAACGATTTCAGATGTTTGAATCTGTATTTTTACAAACATCCAGAGGTTCTGTAAAATAAAGGAGAAGATCATAGTCATCATGTCCAAAATACACATTTATAGACACAAACTCCAGTCAGAGGCAGGATGACGGGAGGAACTTCGATCACTAAGACACAATTATAATTTATTTACACAAATAATTAATAAAAATAATTGAGCAGATAAAAATAACACAATTTAAATGTTTGAAGAATACGACCGTTTTCAGTCGAACTTGTCGAACTTGGACAGCATTTTATCCAGGTTTGTAGTTTTCTACTGATCAAATTTAGAATAAATCGAGAAGTCGGTCAGAACAGATGCTCAACACACCGAAGTAAAGAGAGCGGGAGAGCAGACCAACGATCCAAGTCCCTTTTGAACGATTGGGATGAAGTTCGTATCAAACAGGTTCTGTAGGAATTCATGACCGAGATAATAAAGACTTTATATTTAAAACTGTATATTAAACACTTTATATTAAAAACTTTATATTTAAAACTGAATATTTAAAAACTTTAGATTTAATACTTTATATTTAAAACTTTATATTTTTCTTTAACTCAGTCTGAAGTTTTGGACTTTGGGGTGTTTTGCTGTTAATATCCAAAATCTTTATTTATTGATTTTAATAATAAAAAAACTTTTGAACTTGAAAACATCGAGACTAAAGTGTTTGAACTTCTTCTCTCTTTCTTTTTAAATCTGTTCCAGTTTTCTTGATTTTGTGTTTTCTTGTTTTTAATTCACCAGGATTGACGAGAGCAGAGTCCGCTGATGGACTTGATGACCGAATCCAAGAGTTTGAAGAGGAACGGAAGAAAAGGGTGAGTCTGAGATGTTATTAGACCTCATTGAAGGACTGGATTTGAACCCTAGAAGAACCGGGTTTGATGTTGTCCAGACCACAGGAGTTTATCGACTTCACTTTTAAAGTTAAAGGCGTTCCAGTTGATGAACCTGTTTCCCTTTTTCATTTTATTACATTAAAAGAAAAAATCGAACCTCCTGCTCCAAATTAGAAGAAGAAGCTCAAAATGATTCTCGTCTTTTCTTTAAAGATTTAGAAATCTCTTTTTTATGGGTTCAGTTCGGAGTTCAAAAGTCTGCTCTGACTTTGCGTTCATGAGCCGCCGTAAATATTTGAGTTTCTGAGAAAAACTCAGATCGTCAGGAGGAGTTCAGGGTCTGATTCTCCACGGTGGACAAACTCCAAACGACCTTTTCATGAATGTTATTGTTCAGAGATAACGTGAGCTAAAGTTATTGATTACTCTCAGTTATTCAGCCTTGATTAAAAAGTCAGCTGACGTGGACCGTCCAACAGCAGCAACAGTGTCCTGAGAGCTTGAAGCTGATTGGTTGGTCAGAGTTTATGGATCCAGGTCCTTCTCATTAATTCTATAGTCCAGATTCTGGACCGAGGTGGATCTGAACGTCTCTGCATTTACACGTTTAGACGTCTTTAAAAAAAATCAAAGTGTTCTCGTCTGCTGGAGCCGAGACTTTCTTTAGTTTAGGAACCAAAACAGGAAACCCTCTGGAGGATCTAGTCCACAGAACTGCTGGTTCTGACCCAAGAACTAGACCCATTTTATCTGGTTTTCAACAAAGACATCATCGTCTGTTGTCATCCCAACAGCCTGAGCTCCAAAGGTTTATTTCACAGACAGGTGATCTGTCCGGATTTATGGTCCATCCTGTTTTGTAGGAAGAAGAGTTGGAGATGCAGAAGAAGCAGCAGGAGGTTCTACTCCAGGAGCTGGAGGAGCAGAAAGACAAACTGGAGAAGATGCTGCTTGAGGCCCAACAGGAACGAGAACATCTGAACGCTGTTGTGGTCCAAGAAGAAGCTGCTAAACCCTCAGGGTTTCAGAAGTCTCCAAAGGTACGAGTGCAGGACCAGAAGCTTCCTTCTAAAGTGACCTATCAAATGTGTGCTGAAGATGATTCCTGATGACCTGTGTCGTTCCTCTCAGCTGGTTCCTCCTCTAGACCAGGACGGACACACCAGCAGGATAAGAGAGTACCAGCAGCGTTTGCTGGAGCAGAACAGGTTTGTTCAAGTCTGAACTCAGACGTCTTCTCCACCTGAGTGATGGTGTTGGTCCAGTCTGCAGAACTGAAGAGTTTAAAACGACTGAAATCACTAATGACGTTTCTTTGATTCAGGATCCATCAGAGGTCGGTCCAAGTGGCTCGCCAGCGCCTGGAGGAATACCAGCGAGCGCTACGGATTCGTCACAACATGGCCGCTACTCCCATGTTTTTATCTCTGCCACCTGCGACTCTCCTCCAACCGCCAACAGCTCCTGGAGTTTCTCCAAAGATCCACGTTCAACCACAAACCTCTGCAGAGGTTCCCGTCACAGAGTCAGGGACGCCATCTTCCCCTGCCCATCCTACCGCCAGGTTCCTGTCAGATGAAGAAGAATCAACTCACCAGAGACGAGACGTCCTCAAACAGCTGACTGACAAGATGGAGATGGAGAGACGAACGAAAGATCTCAGAGAGAGAGACGGACCCCCCTCAGTCACCTCAGAGACCCTCAAACCACCACATGGTCCACCTCCCCACCTTTCAGGAGAAGATCACCAGGTCTGCTCTCCTCAGATGGAGGTCCTCCGCTCCAGAGACGACGAGGAGCAGAGAGAGGAGGAAGAGGAGGAGAGGAGATGCAGGCGAAGAGAGGAGGAGGAGGAGAGGAGACGCAGAGAGGAGGAGGAGGAGAGGAGACGCAGAGAGGAGGAGGAGGAGAGGAGACGCAGAGAGGAGGAGGAGGAAGAGGAGAGGAGACGCAGAGAGGAGGAGGAGGAGGAGGAGAGGAGACGCAGAGAGGAGGAGGAGGAAGAGGAGAGGAGACGCAGAGAGGAGGAGAGGGAACCAAGGAGGAGGAGAAAAAAGGAGGAGCTGCAGGTGTGTGTGTGTTTGTGTGTGTGTGTGTGCGTGTGTGTGTGTTTGTGTGTGTGTGTGTGTGTGTGTGTGTGGTCTAACCCCCCTCACATGTTCTCCTACTCGCCCACAGCCGGTCTCAGACTCCCCTGCTGAGGTTCTGGTTCCGGCCCGCCTGGATGTTCTCGTTTATCTGCTGAGAACTTTAGAGGAGAACAACGGAGGAACTCTGTCACACCTCCAACATCCTGAGGAGGAAGATGATGATGAAGACTCTGAAACAGGTGAGTCCCAGTTCTGATGGAATGAAAATCATTTCTCCCTCTGATCTTCTTCTCTGATCTTCTTCTCTGATCTTCTTCTCTGATCTTCTCTGATCTTCTCTGATCTTCTTCTCTGATCTCCTCTGATCTTCTTCTTCAATCTTCTCTGATCTTCTCTGATCTTCTCTGATCTTCTTTGATCTTCTTCTCTGATCTCCTCTGATCTTCTTCTCTGATCTTCTCTGATCTTCTCTGATCTTCTCCTCTGATCTTCTTCTCTGATCTCCTCTGATCTTCTTTGATCTTCTTTGATCTTCTCTGATCTTCTTCTCTGATCTTCTCTGATCTTCTCTGATCTTCTCTGATCTTCTTTGATCTTCTTCTCTGATCTCCTCTGATCTTCTCTGATTTCTTCCCGGTCCAGACCAAGGTCATGTCCTCCTCAAAGTGAAGTCCTGTTAGAGGGTCGAACCCGAACACTCAGATTTGGGTCTTTCTCGGTTGTTTGTCTGTTTATCGGTACAGAACTCGTCTCTCCTGCTGGACCTCCTCTGGGGTCAGCCCCCCCTCACATGGTTCTCCCTCCTCCTCCTCCTCGAGCAGCGAAGCCTCCGGTGACCCGGGTCTGGCCGGGTGTGGTTCTGATGATGAGTGATCAGCATGAGCTCAGCGCCATCCAGGAGGTGGACACGCCAGTCAACATGAGCCTGGTCACAGGTCAGTCTGGTCCTCAAAGTCTGATCAGTAGAACCATGAAGACCTGAAGAAGAAGATCAGACCGTCACTGTCTTTGGTTTTTAGGTCCAGAGGAGAAAGACCCTGAAGACCATGAAGGTCTGCAGGAGACACCATGGTCCAAACTCAGTCTGCAGGCACCTTCTCCGTCCAGTAGAGGGCAGCAGACCGCTGAAGGACCATCTCAGGCAGACTCCAAGAAATCTGGTCATGTGACCTGGAGACCGAGTCAGCTGACAGAGACGTCATCTGAATCCTCAGGTAAGAGCAGGTCGACGGACCGGACTCATCAGAACCGAGATCTGTCCAAGTCCATCTGACGCTCGATCAGATTCAAGAACGACGAATCCTGATGAAGGTGATAAAAAAACTAAAAGAAAATATCGACTTTTTATCGACTTTTTATCGACTTTTTATCGACTTTTTATCGACTTTTTATCGACGTCTGAATGATTCCAAAATTAAAGGTCTAAAAAACTGTGGAAAGATTTTCTGTATCGAATTAATAAAAACATAAACGCTCTCGTGTCTGGCATAAATATAGGAATTAAAATTGTTATAGTAAAATATTTTTTACTATAATTAATATTTTTTAATATAATTACTATAATTAACTTTTATAGGAAGGAACAGGCTGAGAAATCGTCCAGCAGCCGTTGAACCCGGAGCTTCTGTTCCAGACGTGAATCGAGTCAAAAGTTCGTGTTTGTTAATAAACTTCGATCTTTTCTAGATTCAGTTCTCAGGAGGATTTCAGGACCGTCTTCAGACTCTGGGAGAGGAGAGGACTTCTCTGGTCCTGCAGTCTGGACCTGCAGATCTCCTGCTGAGGTAAACGGGCCGGGTGAAGATGTGCAGAACTTGGTCAGAACTTTTCTGTCCCTCAGAGCGGAGAGAGACGATTTTTTAAATATTTAAAGAATTACTAATGACACTTACAGCCACGTTAAAAACTCGTGATTCTCTCTGAGGTTCGAGTTTCGGGTCAGTGATCGAAAAAAACTGAACCTGGATCAGTGTGTGTGTGTGTGTGTGTGTGTGTGTGTTCTTAATGGTGGGTGTTTATTTGGATATTTGTCAGTCTTCACTCAGGTCCTCTGATCTGGACTGCATCTCCTCCACCACCATCTCCACCGGCAGCTACATCACCACCGATCCGGACCAGAACTTAAACCCAGGTGAGCGGTCCACAGCGGTCCGATAATTCTGTTCGACCGGAACCGACGACTGTTGTCTCCGTTTGTCGTTCACCTCGCCGTTTGTCCGTTTGTCCGTTTGTCGTTTACCTCTCTGTTCGTCCGTTTGTCCGTTTGTCTTTCTGTCCGTCTGTCTGTTCGTCCGTTGGTCTGTCTTTCTTTTCGCTCAGTCTTTCTCTCTTTTCTCGCTCAGATAAATCTCCGTCACTGAAGGACTTTGCAGAAAAAGGACTTGAACCGGGTTCGCTCGTCGCCTCTCCTCCATCAGACCTTCTCGACCACGATGAGGGGAGCCTTCCTATTGGACGAGCTAACCCTGCCATAGACTCTCTGTTTAATGACAGCAGCATCCAGCGAATCATCGACCGATACAGCCGAGAACTCGACATCTCACTCAACGCCAGAGAGAAAACCACAGGTAAGGATCAACACCTGAGTCTGTAGAGATCCACGGAGCTCAGTGACCATATGAGGAGAAATACGACCATAAACACGACCTCAGGAACCGACCGTGTCTCGTTCTCGTGTTTCCAGCCTGAACGGACAGACGGACGGACGGACAGCTGATCGTAATCAGAGAAATGAAACTGAAGTCTTTGAGTTCCTGAAGCTCCAGTCTTCAGTCTTCAGTCTTCAGTCTGCAGGTCCACAAACGTTCAGTAGAAACCTGAAGAGTCCACGTCAGAGAGGACTCAGAATCTGAGCCGATCCCGATTCTTCGTCTTCGTGGTTTTTGTCTTTTTCTCTTTATGAAGAAATCTGTTTTTTTCTTTTTCACTTTTTCACTTTCCCTCTTTCTCTCCGTCTTTCACCTTCAGGAACTTTACGCTGAAAATATGAGTCTCCTTCTTTTTTTCACTCGTTCTTTTCTTCACTCGTTCTTTTCTTCCTTCGTTCTTTTCTTCATTCGTTCTTTTCTTTATTCGTTCTTTTCTTCCTTCGTTCTTTTCTTCACTCGTTCTTTTCTTCATTCGTTCTTTTCTTCCCTCCTTCTTTTCTTTATTCGTTCTTTTCTTCACTCGTTCTTTTCTTCCCTCGTTCTTTTCTTCACTCGTTCTTTTCTTCACTCGTTCTTTTCTTCATTCGTTCTTTTCTTCCCTCGTTCTTTTCTTTATTCGTTCTTTTCTTCATTCGTTCTTTTCTTCACTCGTTCTTTTCTTCACTCGTTCTTTTCTTCATTCGTTCTTTTCTTCATTCGTTCTTTTCTTTATTCGTTCTTTTCTTCATTCGTTCTTTTCTTCACTCGTTCTTTTCTTCACTTGTTCTTTTCTTCATTCGTTCTTTTCTTCCCTCCTTCTTTTCTTTATTCGTTCTTTTCTTTATTCGTTCTTTTCTTTATTCGTTCTTTTCTTCACTCGTTCTTTTCTTCATTCGTTCTTTTCTTCACTCGTTCTTTTCTTCATTCATTCTTTTCTTCCCTCGTTCTTTCGATGTTTTCAGACTGAAAAACGGACGGGTCGGTTCGTGGTCGTTCTCTTTGCGTCTCCATGGCGTCTAAACCGTCTTCTCGGTCTTCGGTCTTATTTGTGTTTTTTCTCGGCGCCTCGGGGATCTGGATCGGTGTTTTCTGTAGAGGTCTCAGTGATCCACAGGAGACCGGGTCATGACCCCTCAGCTGGTCTACAGAGACTCTCAGAGACCGTCAGTGAATCCGGATTAACGTTAAGGACTCAGATCAGATTTCTGCTGTTGGTGACTTCATAAATTTACCGACATTTGAAGAAACGAGAACGCCGATCTTTTTTCATCGTGGTCGAATTTAAGGCCAAAAACGGAGACCCGCGTAGAGTCTTGGTAAAGGGGACTCAGATGTTGGACTCAGATGTTGGACTCAGATGTTGGACTCAGTAAACATGGATTCCTCACAGTTTTGGATAAATCTATATTTTATTATATTTATGGATTTTAATAAACTCATCTTTTAATGTTTTATCGTGTCCGTTGATCCGCAGACGGACCCGGCTCCGGTTTGGAGGATCCTGGCCCTTCAGTTTCTCAGCGGTCTTTGGTTTGTGTCTCTGATATGAGCAGCGAGACCTGCAGACCCGGTTCTTCAGCTCATCAGAGTCCTCTATCAGACCCAGCAGCAGACCGCAGAACCGACCGGGTCAGTCTGAAGTTTGTCTTGGTGTTTCTTTGGACAGCTGACGTTTGTTCTGATGTTTGTAAAAACGCGCTGAAGATGGCGTTCAGTTTCTCTGTGATGATTTTCTAACAGGAAAGGATCGGGGCGGAGAATCCGGTCCAACAGGACTCATCACCTGCTCAGGACCAGGACCAGGACTCTTTCAGACCTCTGATTGGTCAGCTGGCAGACCAGTCGTCGTGTCTCACTGCGGATCACAGAGACTCGACCATGGAGCAGCTGGTCGGTCAGCCGTCAGCTCACTCCTCCATGATCGATCAGCGGCTGAGTTTCGATCAGAGCAGATGGGATTCGACTCTGACGCGGCTGATGGGTCGGTTCTCCCATCAGTCCGGCTCTCATTGGCTGAGCGGAGGACAGGACTTTTACGCGGGGCAGCTGATTGGTGAGATGTCATCGACCACATGGCTGGATGGAGGTTTGGTAGAGACCCAGATGAGACCGCTTGTTGGAGAGCTGGATGAGTCATCGGGTCAGAACCGTGAAAGTTCAGGTAAACGAACTCGTCTTCTCTCAGTGTCTCTTTTTGAAATGTTTGAGGATGAAAAACTAAAACCAGAAGAGCTTCAAGTTCGAGTCGTTAGACGTGAAAAAAGAGAAGAAATATCAGCAGACGGTGAAGAAGAGCCGACGTGAACTTCATCTACCGAGTTCTTTCTGCTCTTCATGAGTCGAGATGAAAACGAGTTTCTGCTTCTTTCTGTAAAACTCCGATAACTTAAACTGTCCGTGAGAATAAGTCTGAAAATAATCTCTGAACTTGAATTTAATAAATGAAATGTTGTATTTTTGTAAGAACAAAAGTCGGAGCTCAAAGCCGCTCTGGGTCCAAACAAAGGCATGATGGGAGGAGGGGCTTCATGTGAAAACGTCACAGTTTTACTCTGAATGACAGAGTTTCAGAACTTCAGCGTTTAGGAGGAAACCAGAATAGATGTGAAAGTGAAGCAGTCTGTAGTTCGGACCCTCGGACCCTCCGACCCTCCGACCCTCCGACCCTCCGACCCTCCGACCCTCAGACCCTCGGACCCTTGGACCCTCAGACCCTTGGACCCTCAGACCCTTGGACCCTCGGACCCTCAGACCCTCGGACCCTCAGACCCTCCGACCCTCAGACCCTTGGACCCTCAGACCCTCAGACCCTCAGACCCTCGGACCCTCGGACCCTCGGACCCTCGGACCCTCAGACCCTCGGACCCTCGGACCCTCAGACCCTCAGACCCTCAGACCCTCAGACCCTCGGACCCTCAGACCCTCAGACCCTCGGACCCTCAGACCCTCGGACCCTCGGACCCTCGGACCCTCAGACCCTCGGACCCTCGATGAAACGACTTCCTCTCTGCAGAAACATCGTCGTCAGGAAGTTTGACTCGGTCCTCTAAATCGGGACACGCTGACCGTTTCCTTTAATTCCAGGTGAAAAAACTCGGGTGGACCTCGATGATCCAGCTGAGACCAGGACGCCGTCGTACCCACTGATGCCTCCTGAGAGTTCTGGGCCACATTCACTGGAGCAGACCCTCCAGAGTCCAACAGACCTGGTCCTGGAGCAGACTGAGGGTGAGAAGGAAGAGAACTTCAAAATAAAATAAACCTTTAAATGTTTTTTAATTTCATGATCTCGGCGTTTATTTCAGACTCGGACTCTTTTCACCTTTTACCCGCTGAGGTCACTCACAACCAAACAGCTGACCCCTCCATGACCTCTCACCATCCGGGACAAGCTGCGATGAACGAAGACGGCGGCGTTCCCGCTCCTCCTGACGACCCTTCTGTACCGTCACCGGAGCGTCTCCGACCGGAGGAACCGTCCAGCTGGACCCGCCCCCAGCTCGCGCTCTCTGCTCTGACAGATCTGGAGTTCGCCGCTCTGAATCTGTCGTCCGTAAATGTGAGTGACAGCTCAGCCGGCGTGGACGGGACACGAACGGAGAACACAGTCTGCGTTTCTGAAAATGACAAAGACGGAGAACCGGGTCCTGATCAGGGTTCAAACCCGGGGAAGGATTCTCCTGTCGCACACGTGGAAACGGTATTTGTTTTTTATCAGGATTTCCTGAGCGTCAGATTTGATTGACGTTGTTTTTAAAACCTCGTCTAAAGTTGTTTTCATCGTTTCTTGTTGATCAGGACGCTCTCAGTGAAAAGGGAATCCTGGAACAGTCGGAGATCACTCTGGTGAGTCTGACGGACACCACGCTGCAGGACCAGGAGACCTTCTTCACTGATGAAGAGGAGCAGAGTCCAGCTGCAGTGAAGGAGGGAGGAGGAGGAGGAGCAGGAGGAGGAGTCCAGGTGGAGGAGCAGAACCAAAACCACTCAGGTAAAATCTCAGCAGTTAGACTTTTAAAAGGGTTTAGGATGAACTCTGACTGTGTCACATGAGAAGAGGAGCGCTATGATGAAGAGCAGGTGAGCTCAGCGCGGTCGAACAGAGACCGTTTGACGTGACACTGAGTCCAGTTACAAATGCAGCTGAGACAGGAAGTCCAAATATACAAGGGCTGTCATGGGTAACGCCTAACAGCCTGTAACGGCGTGCAGACTGCTCGTGTTCCTGTTAGATCAAAAGTTTGTCTGAGAGTCACCCTGTCATCCATCAAACGACCAGCAGGGTCAGTGAAGGTCAGTGAAGGTCAGTGAAGGTCAGTGAAGGTCAGTGAAGGTCAGTGAAGGTTAGTGAAGGTCAGTGAAGGTCAGTGAAGGTCAGTGAAGGTCAGTGAAGGTCAGTTAAAGTTTAATGAACCAAATAAACTTTGATTTTCTGATTCTTACTTCGCTCCATCATGAGTTCGTTCTTTCGTTCTTTCAACAGTTCATGAAAAATAAGATTTGTTCTTCCTGAAATCTGACTATCAGGTTGTTAACGGAGGAAAGGTTCTGGTTCTGGTTTGAACATAGACTGGATCAGAAGATCCTGGAGTGGTACCTTACAAACTTACAAAAACAGATGATCGGGTCAGAACTTGAATCTCTTCTTTCATTTTCTCAGCGATGGTCCTGGAGGTTCAGTGGGGTCCTGGTGAAAACCTGCAGGAGGTTTGTCAGCAGAAGTGCCGAGCTCTGCTCCAGAGATCCTCCTCCAGAGTTGAGAAAATAAAAGCCAAGAAACGAACCAAGACCCATGATCCAGCTCAACCAGGAGAACAATCTGCAGCTCAGCAGGTCAACAGAAAGAAAACTGAACCAGAAGATCTCCAGAAGATCCGAAAGGGAGGATCAACAGAGCAGCACAGACCTGCAGGGACGTCCAGGTCCAGTCAGAGAAGGTCTCAGCCTCCTCCTGCAGGTTCGTTCACTTCACATCCAAGACTCTTTAAACTTCAGGAGACCAGGAACGATGACACACACACACACACACACACACACACACACACTCACACACACACACACACACACACACACACGTGTCATTAGAATGAAACAAACAAACTTTACAAACAGATGAGAACATCCTACAAATGTTCATTTATACATACATATATACAGTATATATATATATTTATATGTATAAAAAATCCATTCTTCACACAGTGTAAAATATTTCATTCTTTGACTGTTCAGTAAAATCTAAAGTCCAGATCCTGAAGAAGGTTAATCTGAAGACTGTGAGATGAAACTGTTTAAACATTCAGGTTTTTCTTCTCTTTCTTCGTATCGTAGTTTGGAGAATTGTCCGCGTACCTTTTGCTCCTCACTATCTTGACCATTTCCTGTCAAATAACAAAGCTTGATATGATTCTTACAAAGAACAACTGTTTCTACATTTTCAGCTCCTTCAGTGAGTCTGAAAATATTGGAGGAGAAGTTCTGCACTCCAGAGCAGAGACGTCGAGACGCTACTGAGATGCACCAAAGAACCCAACGGTACGACCCGCTTTGTAAGCTTTCGGTATCAGCTTCTAACCTGGTGATTTTTCATCGGCTCTTCGTACTTCTCAACAGCTCTGCAACAGAAAAACTTTTTTTTTTTTCTTCGAAGGAGAAATAAAAAAAAACAGATTTAACAGAAGTGTGGCAGGAAAGAGTCTGTTGGTGTTTCTGGTGAAAAAGGCGTTTTTTCAATAATTCTCTCGTTATCGTCTAAAATCAGGTGGAACTTTTGCATTATATTTAAAAACTCATCTTTTCGCCTCGGATGGCAAAACGTTTAAAAATCATCGACATTAAAAAAACATCTGCTGCCTCAGAACTTCTCAGCAACATCCCAGAGGCAGCGGCACATGTTGGTCCGATCATTACTAATATCTCTGCTACACGACAAAAAAGATCCAGGATGTAGCCAGCCTCGAGGACGAACGTCGAACAAAAGCCTCAGTTGAGGACTAACTGACTTCACTGAGGTTGGCGAGAGAGTGGACTGGCTGTGAGGCGGAAAAATGAATATATAGAGAACCACACCAGACTCAATAATCTACTATTTGTGTTCCAGACGGTAAAGAAAGTGGAGATATGACAGTGTTCGTTTTGGCATCAGTCCACCAGAGACTGACCGAGCACACAGCGCCATTTTACCACGGCCAAATCCAGGCCAGTGGGGCTGGGTTAGGGTTCCTAAATTAGTGTAATTATAACGATGTTTTTAGTCCGACACGCCTCAGTGTTTGGAATCATATCAGCTCCCCTTCCTGTGCTTCATTTTGATCCACCTAACCATCCAAACACAAAAAGACTCTCATGGTCAAACTGTCACGGCTGATTGATCCTTATTGTTGTTGTTGTTCAGTCCAAAGTTCAGTATCAATAACCGATCTTTATTTAGTTATTTGGAAGGTGTGGATCGACAGAGACAACGACATCATGAACCCCAAACTCAATTTTAAAGATATTTTCTATGAATCCAAATGTTACAAAAGACGTTTGGGTTGAGCTTTCACTCCTGACGATGATAGAGAAGATTCTCTTTAGCTGAAGGTCGTGAAGCAGACAAAAATAATATGAGAGGGTTCTGATGGAGTGTGAAGCTACAGATTTGAGGTCTGATGAACAAGTTATTGGAAACTCCCAAACAAAGTGGAGATGTGTGGATGGAAGTTCACTGGTTCATGTGCTCGCTGCTGCATTGTTAATGTCTTAAAGAGGAGTCATCTGCTTTTCCTCCGTCCTTGACCACGTGGATACAGACTGCTATCATGTCTGAATATCCATGATCAAATACAAAAAGGCCAGTTTACAAATTTGATGGATGTGCACTGTCTTTGAAGATATAAAACAGAATATTTCAATGCGTTTTTTTTCTGTTCAATTTTATTTTGAATAAGTTTTATTTCTGTTGTTTCCTTATTTTTAACAACTGTATGTCAACCGCTCTTGGTTAGGGGTAGGAGTTTGTTCGGTTGTTATTAAAGACAGTATTATGTGTATCTTGTGATATGGTTGACGTCTTTATTAAACAATAAAACTGAAAATCATTATTTTAAAAGCTGTGTCGGGCAGAAACCAAACCCTGTATTTATGGCAAATCGTGTTTCTTCAGACTGTATGAGCAGCTGGAGGAGGTGAAGCAACAGAAGGCGGTCAAGTGTCGACAGGAAGCTTCTGCCAAGAACAGACTGAAGGCCAAAGAGTTCCACAAGGTCCAACACTGAAGTATCACTTTGAAAATGTCTCTATAAAAATGTAGAACTTCTGTTTTAATTCTGAACTTTTCCTTCTCTCTTTACAGAAAACCTTACAAAAACTTCGTGCCAGGAATACTCAGCAGTGACCGACTTTGAACATGTTCTTGTTCTACATTAATTTATGTTTTATTAATAAAGTATTTTAAGTTATTTCAAAAATACTTTTTGCCCTTAATTTTTCTAACTGGATCTGAAATCATTGACGACAACATTTCAAACATTTCATGAATGAAAGTCATAGCTTTCAAACAATTGTTTTTATCATAGTATACTATATATTTTTTATCCTGATATGACATTTCATTAACATGCTACACCGCATCATTTTTATCAAACTACACTATGACATTTTCTTTTGGACTAATGTAAATATATATATATATATATATATATGTATATCTATATATATATATATATATATATAAACTACAGGCCAAAAGTTTGGAGGCACTTCAGATTTGTACAAAAAAAGATCATAATTTCATAAATATAATTTCCAACACAGTAATCATGACTGTTGTGTAAAGAGTAACTGATCTGAAGACATTCTGACTATAATTATGAGGTATTTGAGTTTTTGTTGTTAGACTTTCTTTAAAGTTACCTCCTCTGGCTTTAACAACAGCTCAGCATATACCAGACATTCATTCACCAAGTTTTCTAAGGTCTGTTCCAGGGATTACATTCAAGCTTTCTTAAGTTCATTAAAAAGAGACGCTGATTCGAGGGACGCGTTTTTCTGACCGATCGATCCGATTCATCCCGCACAAGCTCAACTGGAGAAAGGTCTGGAGACTGAGGGGTCCAAACCATCTTTTGAAGAACACCTTCCTCTTCTCTTTTGTCTCGGTAACCCTGACAGAGCTCGGCAGAGAGCTTAGGGTCATTGTCTTACTGCAAAACAAACTTATGAGCCACAAGTCTGAGTCCAGATGGAGCAGCATGGTGCTGGAGGATGGAGTGGTACTGTTCCTTCTTCATGATTTACTTCAAACAAATCTCCTACTCCATCACCTGATAAACATCCTCATACCATGAACTACCACCTCCATGCTGAACTGTGGGTGTAACACATGGAGCTTTCAGACGTTCACCAGTTTGTCTGCAGACATAGACTCTGAGTTTGGAACCAAACAGTTCAAACTTGTTTCTATCATCATTAGTCCAGTTTTTGTGAGCTTTTACCCACTCATATCTCTTTTTCTTCTTCTGTGGATGAAGTCGTGTTTTTTTGCAGATACACAACCCTTCAGACCAGCCTTTCTCAAACGTCACGGTTGTCAGAGATATGGGTTTGGACCTTGTCATGTTGATTTCCTCCCTTGTTTTTCTTGCTGTCTTTCTCCGATCTCTCTTCCTGGTGACAATGCTCTGTTTATCCTCTGCTTTTGTAGAAACTCTCTTTGGTCTTCTTCTATCATCAGAACTTCCAGGTTCCTCTAGTCTCTTCAGAGTGTAGTCGACTCCTTTGTTAAACACCTTTAGGCGTTTTTCTCTTCCTGTGTTTCCTTCTTTCCTCGATGTACAAATCTGTACTTTTGTTTCTTAACTCAGTTGCTTCTTTCTGTCCATTTCTGCGGTAGTTTGAACGCAGTTGAGATTTATTAGGATTTTTGTCTGCAGACTCTCAAAAGACAAAAAGTTGAAGTGAATAATCCAACTGTGATTTGCTTTTGCGCTGAAGTTGTGACTCTTGAAAATGTTTTCAACCCTAAAACTAAGCCCTTATTATCTTTAGCTGACATATATTTAGCAATGGTCTGTTAACATCGATGTATATCTAAAGGTAAATGGAGTAAAATGGTGCGTTTCCATGGAAACAACATCTGATCAACTGTTCGGCCTGGAATGGCCTTGCTTCCAAACTTTTGGCCTGTAGAGTATTTTTTTTTTGGAGCCAAAATATTACATTTTTAACATCCTATACTTTGACATTTTGATCAGACAATAGTATGGCATGTTTTTTTTTATCCTAAAATCTTAAATATTTTGAAATGGAGAATCCTGTCACTATCCATGGTAGTGCGCATTGATGCAATCAAAATGGTGGCTCTCCCCAGGTTTTATACCTGTTTCAAAACTTGCCACTTTTTCTGACCTAAAAATTTTCAAACAACTAGACTCAATAATTCTTCCGTTTGTCTGGGGTTACAAGACGCCTAGAATACCCAAAGTACATCTGCAGAAACCTACGAAAGAGAGAGGATTTGGCCTCCCCATTTTTAAGAATTATTATTGGGCTGCTGATGCCAGGGCCCTGATGTACTGACAGCAGGGTCAGTCAGCTGAGGCGCCTGTTATCTCCCCTCAATGGCTTAACATTGAAGCTACTGCTGTAAAAGGCTCCTTCCTATGCACATTTTTCCCCCTATGACTAAATCCTCTCAAAAACTAATTGGTGACAATTATGTACTGAAAAACTCTCTCAGAATCCTGAATCAGATAAGAAGTGCCAACAAGCTGCCGGATGTGTCTGTACACATTCTTATCTGCTACAACCATTCTTTCTTACCATCTATGGCAGATGAAGTGTTTGCAGATTGGAGACAGAGCAGACTTGTGACCCTCAAAGACCTCTTTATAGACAAGCACTTTGCCTCATTTGACCAGCTGAAAACTAAGTTTAAATGATTGAACTCCCACCACTTTAGATACCTTCAAATTAGGTATTATACTAGAGCCGCACTTCCAAACTTTGAAACCATGCTAATAAGCTGCCCCTTCTATAATCTCTTGCTGATCCCTCCTGATTCTAGGCACCTGATATCCCAATTTGAGAAACTGTTGTCCACCACAGTATCTACGCTTCATCTCAGAAGACTTGGTCAAACGGACTACAACTTGAGGTTTCTGAAGATAATAATAATAATAATAATAATAATATCTTGCATTTGTATAGCGCCTTTCAAGATACCCAAAGCGCTTCACAACACACTACAATAAAGATAACTAGATACCAAAAGCCTGGATAAACAAATGTCGCTTTTTTTTTTTTTTTACCAAAATATAATTTATTTAAAATGCAAAAATGTAAAATTAATAACATCCTATACAACAGCATTTTGATCAGGCTATACTGTGGCATGTTTTTTCATCATAAAAACGGAATTTTGTTTTCACTCTAAAATCTGAAATTTTGGTCATAGTTTACTTTGTCGTTTTTTTTTCAGAACCAAAAATGAACCCCCCCCCCGCCCCGTTAAGATATGACACTTTTAACATCCTGTAATATGGCATTTCAATCAGACAATACTATGACATGTTTTTTCATCCTTAAATCAGAATTTTTTTTTAACCCTAAAATGTGAAATTTTGGTCATAGTATACTATGTCCTTTTTTTTTTGGTCCAAAATATGGGTTAGGGTATACGGATTTTGGAGGTGACCCACCCCCTTGGTAACTTATGAACGGAAGGTCGTAGAGCGCTGAAACTTGCATGTTGGGGGGGTGAAAGATTTTTCTGAGTCCAATGAACCAACTCCCGAGTCTCTAGGACGTTCCTAAAATAAGTTGATTTTTTCCCATAGGAATGCATGGGAAAAAAATTTTGAAAAATTTTCTAAGTGCCGACCAAATTTTTCACCTTCCAAAATTGTGTTAGGAGCACGTTTCAGGCCACTGGGAGTCCATAGAACCTAATTCTGGGGGAAGCTAGGAGCTAGGAGCTTTGCGGCAGGATGATGATGATGATGATGATATAGGGCTATGTGCCACTTTTGACATGCCGGTTCATTGCCTTTCCCAATGATGAACCGGGCTGAGATTTGGTCTACCCCCCCATTTTCGGGTATGCTGAATCTAGAAATAGTAATGAACCAGCGATTGGACATTCCTATCAAAAGTTATGGCGAAGTGAAAATTTCCCATTGAAAATGAATGGGAGCGGAAAATGGCCAAAGTCAGTGTTTGCAAGTGTTCTACTTTGTCTGGAAATGTTGAAAATGGGTTGTGAGCACGTTTCAGGCCATTTCCTGTCGTTTGAGGGTTAGCCTCTCGGAGTGCTCCTGTGTTAGGGTTAGGATTGGGGAATGACTCCCGTCTCCCTCTAAGTTATGACCCTGCTTGGGTCTTCAAGGAGTGGGGCGTGCACGGGTCTTCGCCCCACCGGACACACTCCCCCGGTCCCACTAAGAACACTACTTGTGTTTAATAAATATTGTTTTTAAGTTGGCTTTAATGGGTTGAGTTATTGTTTTTAAATATCTTACATTTTTTTTAACTGTTTTTTACACACAAACACACAATACATGAACTACACATGAACTATGTACAAACAATGTGTGCATCATCGACAACGTTTCGACCCGACTTGGGTCTTCTTCAGGTCTGTGCACACATAAGAAAGGGCTGCTGGGCACCAATTCATAGGTGTTGACAGCAGCTAAAAAAAGAAGAAATGTCCCTGTTCCCTTCTCACCTTTTATACCTTTTAACAAATAATTAACTGAATTTCTCGGATATTTTATGTTATTTTCTACTCTATTTAATTTGAAAATGTTAACCCTTTAACTGCTGATTCTTATTAATCCAAAATAATATATTTATGTTTAACCTGAGGTTAGGCTTAAGGCAGCATTTCTCAAAGTGTGTGGCCCGCCCCCCCAGGGGGGCGCGGAGCCATCTTTAAGAAGCTAACAAGTGGAGGGGATGCAGGGGGTGCATCTACGGCAGGGGGTGCATTCTACGGCATAACACCTGTTAAGTATGCTGCTATCCCCACCTGTACAATGTCCTCCTGAAAGTGTACAAAGACGCTTTCTGCTGTGCTAATTCATGGTGGGAAGTAGCTCAGAAACCAGGGCGGAGATAACCACCAACGCCGTGCTATGCCTCTCACATTTTTAAAAGTGGTTACCGTAACTTTAACCCTTAGACAGAAACCAGGGTCATTTCTCTAAAAAATTTAAATTCAAAATTAAAGATTGGAATCTTTTATAAACGTATTATTTGAAGATAATATCTCAAAGCTCGTAATTTGGAATCTTTCTTACAACTAACATTTGAAATGTGTGCCCCAAAATCTAAATTGATCCAACCCCAACCCTACGTTTCAACCTAATCTAAACCCTAGGTCTGGCCTTTACCCTGTGTCTAACCCTAACTCTAGTTCTTACCCCAACAGTAGGTCTAACCCTTACCCTAACCCTAAAAAAAGTTATA